TCGCACATTCGAACACCATGAACAGGTCAGCAAATATTCTGAGCACGGTGGTATAAAGACCGATACCTCTACAGACTAGCTCACTCATGCACCGAGCATTCAACAACACTATATTGAGCTGTGCTCTACCGCTGGAATAACAATCGCAGAAGCACGGGTTACTCTTCAAGCCAGGCAAGATGGGTCCAATACTCTGGGCCCCAACTCAACAATAACGACACAGGATATTCTATCAATGCTACTTGCTGGCGCTGCTGGAAAAGATGCTCCGAGAAGCACTGAAATTCCACGACGGATTCTTAGCCCCTCGATTGAAAATGCATATATTTCTTGCAGATTTGCTTGGTAAGCAGACCTTGAGACTGGCGCATATCAGCATTTCTCCTCGATTCCCCGATCTAACAGCCAGCCCACTCCGTCCACGGCATCCTTCATCCTCTTTTCGCTCATCTCCAACTGCGGAAACGTAGCCCACCAGCAATGACCGAAGCCAGGATACAAATCTAACCTCGTCGGCACGCCGCACTCTTCTCTCAGAACCCTCTCATAGATCAACCCATCATCGCGAAATCTGTCCATCCCACACACTTGAAAGTATGCCGGCGGAACACCCATGTGCCCATGCCGCACCGACCCAGTGCCCTCGTCGTCCGGATTATGCTGGTCGAAACTCATGTACAGCTTACTCGTCAGATCGGGCTGGAACGCGTCCCGGAACATAGTGAACATGGCTTTATTCAGGATCGGCTCGTCTTCGTTTTGCGCGACGCTCAGATATCGACCCCGGTAATTCGCCGGCACATGCTGTTCCGAGACGTACGTGCCCGCGCAAAGGAATTGTCCCGTCAGCTGTGGATGCAGGTTGCCATCTCGCGCGAGATGTGCTAGTGATGCTGAGAGGTTCGCACCGGCGCAAGTCCCTCCAACGATGAACCCGACTCGGGCATCTGTGCAGCGCGGGAAGACCGCCGGATTCGCCTTGCGCGCCTCCCTGGCTGCAAATTCGAGCGTCTCCCAGGCGTCGCAGATGGAGAACGGAAAGGGGAACTCAGGCGCGAGGCGATACGATGCGCAGATCACGATGGCTGAATGCGCCAGAACGAGTCGCCGTGCTAAAGGAAGTTCGAATTCGGGGTGTCCGACGCAGTGGCCGCCGCCGTGGAAGAGCAAGATTAGCGGACGAGGCGTTGCATCCGTCAGAGCCGACGTGAGATGGCATACAATGATACGCGAGGGGTGCTCGTCGCGGAGTTTGATGGAGTGGGTCTTTTCGGTAATATCGTGAGGACGACTTTCTGAGAGCGACTTTTGAAGGGCTGGCAAGGCAGCTGCGTTTTCTTGTTTCAGATCTGTGATGGTACGAATGGATTCTTGAGAAGGGTGTCTGTTATTGGAAGCTTCTGCGAAAGATGGGTCGACGTTCGACGTGGCGAGGATCTCGGCGATGGTCGAGGGCGGTGTTGATGGCATCTTGAAGATGGGCGGCTCAAGTGCCACGAAGAATGCCCGTCAGTAGCTGATATGTGTCCTCAGCTTTGCCAACCGCGAGGCCTTTACGCGCGAGAGTCAACAGATACCCTGAACAACTCAATCGACGGTGTCAGCCTTGAAGAAAGGCTCGGAGTCGCTCCGTCAGGCTGAGGGCAGTACCGAAAGGGGAAACGGCCTGGCTATCTCATCAAGCGCTCAATTTGTTCATATAGCCTTGCTGTTGCAAACATCTCATTGGGGAATCGTAACATCAACAGCATGGAGAGATAGGATGCTGGTGACCTTATGCACATATGATAGCCTCATTGTCGGCGTTTTATCGAAGGAAACGCCGATTAGTTGATTCTCAGGCCGGTCTAAGTGTCGGTCCGTGCGGGACACAAAGGACCTGAAATGTGCGTGGCCGTGCATCATCTGCCGTCAGAAGCCTTTGGTCAGATGAGTGAGACGCCTTTCTCTGGTATGCTGACATGGCGCTGTTCCTTAAATACTCAGTCCACAAGTCCGGCGCTGGCCAGCGAAAGAACGTTCGTATTGGTCGGGACGTCGAAGCCGTCAAGGGTTTGTTCATTCGGGGGCCAAAAGTCCTAAAACCTCGTACACTTGCGCTTCTAGGCGCATGATATGCAGATGTGGTTGCATTCGAGCGAACCTATCCATTGCACCATCGAGTGCATGCACCTTGATTTGAAGCATTGCCGTACGAGCCGGAAATGCCTCCGTTGAAGTCTCATGTCCGAGATAATTGTCTGAGATGGCACATGGAGGCTGGACCCGTCAGGAGTGGGTTGACGACTGTTGATATGTCTAGTGCAGTCAACCAGGTGTAACTGGCGCAACTTTGGTAAGGCTGAAAAGCTATACATGGCTTTGTGGTGTGCCTCCTTCGCTTTACCTCGCGCTGGAGTCAGACTTCCAAGCTCTCTGTGATTTTGACCCGCGATTCATATCCCGCAACGGTATGCGCACCTTTTGCTGCTTGTCCGCTGCACCACGAAACATGGTTTCGCTACATGAGGCTGACAAGACCAAGAGATGTCCGTACATGAGGGGATAGATGGACTGAAGAGATACGAGGAGTCCTTCGGCTGGACAGCGAAGAAATCTTCCCACCACCGTCAAGCCTTCTGATCTTGGGTTTTAGTATCAGAGTATGGGACAGCATCAGCTCAATAGCCGCGTCTTCAAGGGACCGATTGTCATTCCTCTTCTAGCAGTGAAACATCTTGGTGGTGCTAACATTGACGCGACTCCATTTTTGGCCGGTCCGAATACAAGAAAGAAATTGCATTGGCCAGTAAACATGGTATAGCCACCACCAGGGCAACGGATCCCAAAATTCGTATGTTCCATCTTTCCAGATTAGAAGGTGGCTAATGAAGGTGACATAATTCCGGATGAGGTCTGGGAAGGGTATGCCAAAAGTCAGAAAAGACATAGTGGGTAGAATTGCTCGAGTGACCAGGTCGTGGCCGATCCAATAATACTTGTCGTTTCGTACAGGCACTACCACGGGAGGGGCCTTCGAAGCTGGAGATTTGCCGAGTACGGACAGATAGCCGTCGATCATTGCCGTGGTGCCATTGAACAGTGCCACGGCGGTATGTGCTCGTGGGTTGCATTCGATGGGGTAAAGAGTAATGCTGCTGGTATCCTTTGTCTCATCGTCCGACACCATGAAGTCGAAGGACAGATGACCTGTGAACCCCGGTCCGCCGATCGCAGCGTACTTCTTTGTGAAATCGAGCATTGCTCGGCTGAGGTCAGATTTCGGAGGCAAGGCTTCATAATGCATGAGCAGTTCTGCTGAAGGGCAAGCGACAAAAGCTTTGACTTGTCCATTGACCACAAGTGAATGGGTACAATACTCTTTGCCATTAATGAATTGCTGGAGAATCCAAGGTGAGTCTTTCGAGATCTTAAGTTTGGCAATATGCTTAGAAGTGTCCATGGGGGTGGATTTCGGAAGAAGAGTCATATCTCCACGAACAGCATCGTCTACTCCGATCGTCTTCATGATGTATTTGCGACCGGCAGGGGCATCGCGCAAGATGGTCTCGACCTCTGCTCGACTGGCGATCTCATGTGTTTCCGGAACGGTAAGACCAATGTCTCTGGTATGGGCGATAAAGGTATGCTTTTCGTGTAAGGTTTGAGTGGTTTCGACGTCGAATTGGATAGCCTTGCAATGCGTCCGGCTTTCGACAATCTCCTTTGCCATGCCATCTTCGACCGCCGAGGCCACGCCGGAGCAACTGACCCATAGTTCTATCTTTTCCTTCGCGATGATTTCAAGCAGACTGTGAATGTACGGCGCTGAGCCAGCCTTCGCATCGGGTTTGCGCAAGCGGTAAAACCTTTGAAGCGATTTCGATCCCCTTCCGCAAACGAGAGCTCCATTCGGCTCGAAGTCTGCTCCAATGACAACATGGCCGGCCTCGTAAAACGATCTAGCCAGAGCAAGACCCTTGGTCATGCCAATTCCAGTGACAAGGATTTTGCGAGGATGGAATTCCGATTGATGATATGCATGTTGCCGGGTCAGGTCTGCACGATTCGGTAAGATCAATCGTATGAAGAGAGAGAAAAAGAGTATTGAGGTGTCAAACGGAAGGAAAACAAGGCTGAGAAGCAACAAGGCAGCATTCTGCAGCCTGTGAGCTAGAATGGATGAAGCACTGTCGAGCATGGTCAGCACAGCTGAAGGCCAATGGGTTAGTTCTGAAGCTCGGAAAGCAGAGGTAACGTAAGGAGTATGGATGTATTGACGGTGACTTATCTTCACATGGTCAACAAAGCAGAGAGCATTGAGCTGATGCCGGCTGGGCCATTCAGAAATGTTAACGTCACGAAGCATGGTCTGTGGAGACGCGAGTTGGAGGCTAAGGTAATGTCGAGAAACCTGAAAGGCAGGGTGGAGCTGCCTGGAGCAGGAGAAGCACAGAGTATGAAGTTCACAGATAATGTTGCAAGCATTGCATCTTGTAATTATGTCGTTCGTCAACCGCAGAGATGATAAAGGAGAGTCAGAGTAACAAGAAGAGCAGGTACGATTCCAGGCAGTGGTGGTGGAAAGCTGCGCTCATTGGAGTCTACAGTCGGCCGTATATTGTCCGGCAGAGTATAAAGCACAGTGGCACTAACTCGTGCTCTTGGCCCCTGAATCTGATAAAGCTCGAGCTCTCCATCAACTCCTGCCACCCTCCTTCAGTCCTCTTCCCACGCCAAGTTGTCTTTCTGTATGTTTCACATAAGTCCATGGCCGAAGAAGCATAACAGGATGCTCTAGAGGCAGTCTGAGTCAAAGTAGAAATCGAAGCTGCCGAACTATGCAGATGAAGCTGCGGCGGAGACTGTAGATTCTGAGTAACCCACAGAGGAGCACTGCGGGCCTACGTTGACAGTGCTGGAACCCCCGAACGGGTCATGTAAACACGCGAAAAATTGAGGAGCTATCAACAAAACCCTTGAAAATTTGGCCACGAATTTGCACACAGAATTCGGCCAAGGGTTGCTTAGATCAGCTGGTTAGATCGTCGTGCTAATACCCTGTGGAAAACACGAAGGTCGTGGGTTCAAGCCCCATAGTGACCATAGAATTCTGTCCAATCTTTTTTTAGGGAGACAGTAAGACAAAGGAGTGGGAAAGGGAAGAATTTTTATATGTGGACCCACTTCAAACCAGCACTCGTCACCAGGCACTCAAGCTCATATGCGACTGACAACATGTGAGAGACGAGAGAGAAGAAGGCTTATCAATAATATGTCGACAGGGGCCTCTCCATTATTTTGAGCAGAACATTAGTTCTGCAAATGTACTCGTGTTTTTCCGGAATCTGAGAATGAACCCCAAACCCGCAGTTGTGGTGAGACTGTACCGAGACTGCAATACCTACTACGGCCGATAGTTCTTCCCAATGCCTGTGATCGTAATGGACATTGACTCGGCGTGCCAGAGACGCCGCTCAACGAATGCTGGAATATCCTATACATTTTGTGATCTCAATGCCGTCCTACACACAGTTAGTCGGGAGGAGCTTAGGCGGCAACACGGTTAATGGTCCTTACCGGCACCCCTGATGGTTCCCAGCTGTTGACAAGCCTGCTCTTGTAAACCAGCTCAGGCTTCCCTATCCTTGTCTCGTCAAGTTTCGCTTCTCCTTCACGCTTTTGATATTGTTTGGCTGTCTTGTCGGCAAATCGAGTATCAACCCCGTTGACTGTACTGGCCAACTTGCTCGCACGTTGCTTTTCGCTGACTGTGCTCCGGACATACTCGAGGTATGGCGGATTCCCTGGCTTGATGACGTTGTCGGCTGCCAGCACGGTCCCGATTCTGACCAGGCCCAATTCCTCACAGAGCTTCAGATCCGTCGTATAAGCGGGCTTGTAATGATCCAAGAACATCAGGTTGATATACTTGAGATCACCAGCGGCATGTAGCCTCTTGATGGAGGCATCGCTCGAGCCAACCACGACTTTGACGACGTCGCCTAAGCCGGCAAGATCGACCAGAGACGAAATGACAGCCGCAAACTCCGGATTCCGCTCAAGGCTGAAGTAGCGCTGGCCACCAGCCTTGCGGACAGCATCCCCAAAGAGAATGCAAGAATAGCCGATATAACCACCCAACTCAACCATTACCTGAGGTTTGACGTCTGCAATTAGCTCCGTGACTATCCGTCCTTTGTCCTCCCCGACATTCATCAGGTACTTTTTCGTTCTGGCAAACTCATCAATGGCAGCTAGCACTTTCGTGGGCGATCCCCTGATACTGTCGATATCTGGCTTATTGTAGACGAAGTGCAAAAGCTCGATTTCTCTTCCATCATCAAACTGAATTGTATTAGCACGTAGGGGACGGGAACAGCCAAAGGTTAGGAAATACAAATGTCTCTTCTTGCTCCTGATACTTCTTCTGAGGGTCGAATTCAGCCATTTTGCTTCTTGTGGAATGTTGGAATAAATCAGAGTCGGCTTCTATGGAACTGTGGTCAATCGACTGCCGAGAGGAACAATCCACGAGTCTTCAACGACGACCCTTGAAGTCTGCCGAAAATTGTCTAAACGGCCGAGGAGATTCAGAACAATACGCTCGTAATAATGACATGAATCTGAAGTGGCAGATTCAAGATCTCAACAAACCTCAGACCCTGGCAACCGCAACCCTGGGGAAAGATCAGATCGCCGGATGCTGTCCGACCTTTGAGAAATGATGATCTTCCCATTGGATACAGGCACGCCTACAGTACTCCATATGTGCGAGAGTAATCTGATATGCCGGACAGGTGGAGTAGATCTTGTGCTTGCCTGTAAGAGGTGTGAAAGTGCATTTCCGCCATGGAATTCCTGGCAAAGGGATCATCGTTGACCTCTCCGAGCTCGTGGAATGGAAAAGGGGAGGAGAAGCGTTTATGGATGATGATTCCGTGATGTCGAAGCAGCCAATCAAGCGAAGACCCGCTAGTCCACATCTAGACTAGTTTCCAACCGTCTCTCTTGGAAAAATCTCTTCTCCAGTTTCCATGTTTCTTGCTTCGTGCAACACCAACAACAACATCATGATGTGAATCGTCATCAACCGCCGATTCTGGAGAATGTCATGCACTCCACCGAGTGAACGACGTCTTCGATCGTATCCCCGTCTGCACTCCTGAGGCTTATGCATGGATCTCTCCAACTGTCCTGAGACGCGCCGCATCTTGACACGGGTCCCAACTCAATCTATCCGACGATCACGCTAGGATCTGGCATTGTCCATCATCCAACCCATCAGTTCCTGACACCACGCTCCACGCTCTCCATTCACCCGCTGCTGCCTGTACCTGACCGGGGTACCCTTGAGTTTGTCCTACGCGGATCGTCTTGGAAAGCAGCTCGGCTCTTACTGTGTACGCCCTGCTGAATGGTGGCTATTTCTTCCGGACCACGTTTCACCAGTCTCTTTGTCACAATTGCTCATCGTTGTTTCGACTACATCATGACTGTGCCTGGCCGGAATTCTAAATCGCATGCTAAATCTGTTTCGGGAGCCTTGCATGCCAGGGACTCATCGAACGTTGCACGATCCTTGTTTTGCTCGGGGCTTAATGCAGCAGCTGGTGGGACATCCTGCAACACATCCGAGCCTTCTCGAAGTCTGAAAGTGCTGGAATTCATCAATAGGCGGGAGCTCTGCGCCACAAGTTGAGTTGTTGTTGTTGACACGTTGAAAGAATATACCGACATGCTCTTTTTCGACTGCATGTGTCCCACACAGCTTTCGAGCCCATTGATCTTGTTCAGCACCCTTCTAAACTGAACAGACTTTCTGGCGTACGGACACCTCTACCCACCAATCAACCTATATCGGATTGTTTTCGAAAGGTGGTGCTGAAAGACTCCATGCGTTTGTGGAGTTCCATAATTCTCCATATCCGGCAAGATGGAAGACGTCGTCTACGGTATACAATGGCATGTTGTGGCCCACCTAGTGATCACGTCTTGACGACTCGTTGGCCCTCGTGTTGGTGGGAGCTTGGGTTTATTAACCTGGTGGCCTGCTCCTGAACCCTTGTTCCTCTTCCTTAATTTTTACCCCTGTGTCTCTTTCGCCTCTTCCCAAGTTTCTTTGTGTTATCTTTCCCGTCCATTCAACATGTCTGATCTCAAAGCATCCGTCGCCGAGACACCGGCCGGATTCCACGTTGAGGGTTACGAGAAGATCGAATATGACTTCACCTTCATGGACGGAGTCTTTGACACCAACAACAAGAACCTTGCAGACTGCTATCAACGGTGGGGACGCTGCTTGGCCGTCATGGACCACAACATCTTCATCGTCTATGGCGAGCAGATGCAAAAGTACTTCGATCACTACAAGATCGACCTCGACATCCACAAGACCATGATTGGCGAGAAGGCCAAGTCTATCGACACATTCTTGAGCATCGTCGACTCGATGAACAAGTTTGGCGTCTTTAGAAAGGTGAGAGGTGTACGTGGACTTCATGCAGGATTACGACTGACAAGCTTTCAAGGAACCTGTACTCGTCGTTGGCGGTGGATTGGTGACGGACGTTGCTGGGTAAAAGCTACCACCTGCCAAAGATGACCTCAAGGCACTCTGGCCCATACATAACCTTGGCTCTGTCCCGGTTTGAGCATAATGTTAACCCCTGTCCTATAGGTTCGCATGCGCTGCGTACCGCAGAAACACCAACTTCATCCGGATCCCAACCACTGTCATTGGGCTTATTGACGCGTCTGTGTCTATCAAGGTCGGCGTCAACTATGGCAACTACAAGAATCGGCTTGGAGCTTACCATGCTCCAATCCACACTTTCCTCGATTTCGGCTTCCTGCGCACACTGCCGGAAGCACAGATCCGAAACGGTTTCGCGGAGTTGATCAAGATCTCCACTTGCGCCCACCTTCCGACTTTCGACCTGCTCGACAAGTATTGTGAGCAGCTGATCAAGACCGGCTTTGGTCGTACGGATGGTGCACCAGAGGAGGTGCGTAAGGCCGCAGATACCATCAACCGTGCCGGTATCCACGAGATGTTGAAGCTCGAGACTCCGAATCTGCACGAAATTGGACTCGACCGAGTCATCGCTTACGGTCACACGTACGTCATTCCATTTCCCGCGCCGACCTAATACTGATATACGCCAGGTGGTCACCACTTCATGAGCTGGTGCCTGAGGTCCCTCTTCGCCACGGCCATGCCATTTCTATTGATATGGCATATTCGGCCACTCTTGCCAACATGCGTGGACTACTCAGTGACGAAGAGCACAAACGGATCTTGAACCTGTTCTCGAGAGCAGGATTGTCGATGGACCACCACCAGTTCGACGAAGACATCCTTGACAAGGGTACCAAGGCGATTCTGAAGACTCGAGATGGTCTGCTTCGCGCTGCAGTGCCCAGCCCTCTGGGGAAGTGCGTTTTCTTGAACGATGTCTCAATGGACGAGATGTTTGCTGCTCTCAAGAGGCACAAGGCCTTGATGAAGAACTATCCCAGAAATGGGGAGGGTTTGGAGGCTTTTGTCGATTCGAGCGACACTGGTTACACGGTCAACAACAAGCCCGTCGAGACTAACGGCACTTCGAACGGCATTTCGAACGGCATTTCGAACGGCCTCAAAAAGCTGAAGGTCCTGAACGATGACACGCACGTCAATGGAGCAGCTACCAACGGACATCAAAATGCCGATGGAAAGATGACCAACGGTGCGGCCAAAGCGACCAAGCATGCTGCTGCGGAGGAAAAGCTTACCGGTCTTGCCAATGGAGCTACAGATGTACCAACAAACGGCTTCGCTAAGGGAATTGCGAATGGAGTGAACGGACACACCAACGGCGTTCACACCAATGGCACCAACGGTGTTCATTGAGTACACGAGGAAACTCACAGTCATTGTGGATTTTGTATATAACAATCCACTGGCTCTTTTCGAGATGAGACGGGATAATGTTTATGACTGGGGGAAGGCGAAGGGTGATTGAGGAACGATCGATCATAAAAGCTTTAGATCCGGACGATTTGCGTGGAACGTGTCGCGCAGAGTAATCCATACGATGCAAATTCTTGTAAATACATCTTTC